TGAAAAATGTCGTTTATTTTGTAAAAATGTACAATCTATACAATAAATGGTACAATAAGTAAATGTGAATGAATGAATATAACATTAGGCGGTAAGAAAAAGACAATGAATAGTAGTTTTACATTAGAAATTACTGGATAATATTATTATTTTAACAGACGATAAACTTACACTCTCTATATTTGTTCAATTACCATCCCCGACTCACGACCATTCGGTACGCCCCTCGCACACACATGACACATTCATTACTATAAATTTACTTCTCATTAACAGTTCCAAAATGTATACAAAAATAGGTTTGTATTATTTTTTTGGATCCGCCTAAAAAGTTTTGATCAAATTCGTTGTTTCAAAAACTAAACGAGGGGCCCAACCTAATCTCGGAAATGTTTGGTTTATTTTATGTCATAATAAGTGGAAAAAACAGTTGTTCAACTCGTACTTGAGCATAATTGAATTTCATATCAACGAATTGGTTAGTAACGTTTTTTACTATTTTAATGAATTTTAATAAAATATAATGTTTTACGCAAATCATTGGTGTTGATAGACTAGGTTTTATAATGTATAGATTTAGCCCAAGAGGTTAAAAGCTAGAGGATAAATTAATTTTTGACCTAGTCGTGGTTGTGTCTATATAATATGCTTGGGTAGTTCGTCGTATGCAAAACGTATCCCATTATTATTACTATAATTTATCATAACTACCCATGTATCTATATATTATTATTATTAACTCCCCGAATAAATCCTCAAGGTCGACGAATCGTATACCTACCTAATATAATATTATTATTATTAAATATTATACGCATTTTCCATGTATCATCAATACGAACTTTGGTCTCGCATCCCGATGATATGTATAATAATATAATAATGAATATTGTGTATAATTTATACTACCGTCTACCTACAGTAAGATTTTTTTTCGTACGAATAATGTGATATCATCATCGACATTAATCTCGTATGTGCATTATAGAATACAGTATACTATTGTTATTACTATTCAGTTCTATAGCTGAAATATTATCGTTACGGGGATAGATTGTAACAATATAATATTATGTTTTGTACTCGACATTCGTATTCTCGTTTTCATATTTTGAGATCGTTATAATATACGAGAACATAATCATATAATGGTACAACTATAATACGCTATTATTATCGTTATAGTTATATGCACTGGCATAATATTATTATCATGACCGATCGATTGGGTTTGTTATACCCGTGAGACGATCTGCAAAACGATTGTAAGGAATTCCAGCAGCAGCAGTATACGTCGAGTACTCCATAATAAGGTGAAATATTCGTGTCTGGCGGAAACTACAAGGACTTGTACGAATACGTAACTGATGCTGCACTAGAGTGCACGACGTACCTATAATCTATACATGTATAGGCGTATATTGTGTTTATATAATAACCACTATATAATAGTATACGAGTGTATATAATTTCGTTTTTAATTGAAATAAAAAACGGCATTTTTCGTTTTTAATGTTATATTATCGTTATTGCGACGTACATAATATATTAATATTATTACAGTCTTCGGTGGTAACGATGTATACCGGTCCCGGGGGCGCTCGTCGGCAACCGTGACACGCCGAAAATAAAAACCCCTATTTACGGATAAAATAAATTACGCCAGAACCTCCCCGTTATTTTATTTTTGGGAAAACACCGCCGCCGCTGATGCGGTGTTACAGTTGTAGGCGTGATCGTACTCGATGACGCCCGGGGGGGCCACTGCGGTGGTTAATAATACAAACAGCATATAAACATTACTTAGGTACATAACATAAATATACACATTTATAATAAATATATATATATAAGTAAGTACGTTTCATTGTGTGTATATATACATTATATATGCATAATATTATATAGGTATATACACATACCTGCACCTCGAGGCTTACAAATCATTTTGTTTCCGCTTTCCCTCTCTCTCTCTCTCTCTCTCTATCTGTCTTTCCCTCTCTCTCGCTCTTATATATCTTACTAAACATCTTCTATAATAATAATATACATATATAATTTATTTCGTACACAGTGTGTATATATTATATGCGTATGTGCTTACCCAGTATCGGCTGCTAATTTTTTTTCCCCTCCTCAATGTTTACACAAACCTTACGAAAACCGACTATCGTCGTAACGAGTATTATTACAGCTGTTATCGTGACCGAAAATAATATTATACATTATATATTATCATCATTATCATTATATTATTATATAAGCGTGAGACGTCCAATTATAAAATACATTTTTGCGTCTCCGCCAAGGTCCTAGCGGTATAATAATAATATTACCATCGACAATAACACTCATTATTATTTGGGTAACAATAATATCTCGTATTATTGCGACCGGTATCGTTGATATTCTAAAGGTGCCTATTTAAATAATAACAATGTTTATGTTTGGATTTCAAGCGGAGTAAATAACTTTTTAACTTTTGAAATTGCATAATAATAAGTTTCGTATTATTATTATTATTACATTATGCGACTTTCTTGATTTTATACATTTTTATGCGTGGTCTTAAGAAAACTTTTTTTTGAACTTTTCTGGATGTTTATACAATACAATTAATTTTTTTTATATTAATGTTAAACTAAAATGTTCAACTACATAAAATGAGTAAATTGTCTTTTCTACCCCTATTTAAAAACTAAATAACGTTAATATTTCGTGTTTTTTTTTCTATATACACAAATTAACACAGATTGTTTGTAATATTATATTATTGTCTTTATTATTTATGAACTTTTATAGATTTGCAAAAATTTCAAAACATAAAAATACATATTATTATAATTGGGTATTTTTATTGAATATTTTATGATAATATCAATATGTCTCATATCGTTTGAATATACATTATAACGCACGATCCCATTTTTTTTATTTTAACATATTTTTATCCGTGTTATAGCTATATAAAAGGTCTTAACACCATCATCCGATATGAAATATATTTAGATATGGAATCTTTTATCATTTATTTTCATGAATCATGATTGTAATAACTAATAATTAGGTATTTCGTATTTAATACCCGCACGCCGGCACCCGTAACTATACTTAAACAACAATTTAAAAAAAAAAAACAGACCGCACCACACCAGTCAATAGATTATTGTTCGGCGCCTATTTCTACTTTTCCATAGTTGAATAAAAATTACAGTGTATCTGGTGTAATACGTGCTATAGATAATTATATTCAATTATTACATGTAATCTGATACGAAAAACATTTCGTATAATAAGTAACATATTCGAAGTGGTAGATTATACGACTATGAGTGGTAAAATAATATTGTAACATAGTTGCAGTGTTATAATTCAACACAACGTTCGTGACGAATTGATAATAATATATTAATATGCGACTATGCGAGGCATATTTACATAATAATATATTCATATTGTGCGCGAGAGCCGAGAGCTTAATGATAATTGGAGGACATATCGTCCATGTGTATGTGTATATTTTACACCGGACAGGTGTGGTTTAACTAGGCATTATAGACTAACCCCGAAATCGCGTTCCTTTGACCCATAAACGGTTTAGTTTGCCCGGGAACGACTACCGTGGTTATAAATAATAATGTATGGTTGCCCGAGTGCGGAGCGGTCGCTCGTCGTGTGGTCGGGAGAGACTTGGAAAAGCGTAATAATAACACGTAATATTATATGTATATGTATAGTATGCTATCGTATATGTATATTATATTGTATAAATATATAATAAATACTCATATAATATATATATATATATATATAGAAACAGACATACATTATACATACATATAAATCGCATACATACGGTAAACGAGTGGCTACGACACATGACTTTGTAACAGCTGAAAATACGAAGACGCCGACGCACAGTGGTCTGAAATGTAATTTTAGCTTGCCGAAATCGAATTTTTGATGACAACAATTATAATTGGAGCATATATATATACATTGGGGACAACCTATAGAATACGATAAGTAAACTGTTTGTAGATAAAAATGGTCATTAACATAATTAACGTCTGATATTGAGTGAATAGTGCATAAAATATAATCTGAAATTTGTGACCACGCGCGTTATGTGTTACTCAGCTTTTGACGATCATTGTGAACACAACTGTGCAGTTTCAAGAGTTTATTTTTTTCAATATATACAATGGATCATTTAAATGAAGGTAAGTAGTTAAAATTAGCTAGTATGTAGACTCAAAACTTTTAAATTTTAACAATAAATTTCAAAATTGTTGACGATACTAGTTTTATTTTAAACAATAGAAGATAACTAAAAATTGACAAATTTTGACAAATTATCATTACATGGTACTTATAGTAGACATACTTGGCTTAAATAATACATAATTTCCATTTGCCCCAATTTGCCCCAATTCATTACGTGATCTTTTTTTTTGTAGCTGGATGTAGTCGAGATAGTACGCAAAAAGTAACTTATCGTGATCTTTTTGAAATTTTACGAAAAAAGGGGCCCCTTAAACCGTCAAACGTTGAATCAAGACAATTTTTACTGCATAAAATATTAGATATATATAATACGCCGGTACGGGATGATACGTATAATAAAAAAATGAACGCAAAGGTTTTAAATTTTACAACTGTGCTTGAAAAAAAATGATCAGAAAGTAAAAGAACCTATGACAGATTTATTGAAAAAAATAGTGAATGGTTAAAAAAAAATGTCATATTACCTACAGACAATGAAAGTAGTTCGAAAAGTGTGGGTCGACCAAAAATTAATTTTAACGAGTGTGCCGAAAGAACCAAAATAAATAAAGTGAAACATTTAGTAAAATCGTATACTTCTCCGGAACTCAGCTTTGCAGCCTCAGCTAAGTATCAACTATCTGGGAAGAGGTGCGTTAGTCAACTTTTTAAGGAAAGTGTAAAAAGTCCGAATCGTGCAAAAAAAATTATGAATTCATATACTTGTGTTGAAGATGAAAAACCTATTCCATATAGTATTGATGAAGCTTCTGTTAATGGATAATAAACTAACCAAACAACAGTATGTTAATATACGAATTAGCTCAAAAAAACGAAATTGTGACATATATCCTCCATACGATGGTAAAATAACTGGAAAAAAAAAATGTTATTCGAATAACGTAGAAATCACAGAATCAGGATGCAAAATTCCATTGCAAGATCTCTTGGACCACACAACTAATCGAATCATACAAATCCCACAACATATTAGACCAATTGAATCACATATGAATAATTTAGAAATGTTATACAAGTGGGGGTGTGATGGTAGCAGTGGTTAGTCTCAATATAGAATAAATTTTAATCAACCACATTCACCATCATCTACTGATAAAAGAAATTTTTATGTTCTCAATCGTAATACTTCAATTACGCGTAGTAGAAGATAATATTAATTATACTACCTATTTGGGAAAATCCTCGACCATCATCCACTAGATTTTGCCGGCCAATAAAGTTCCTATTTAAAAAAGAAACTAAGGAAAGTACTAAAGAAGAAGTAGAGGATATAGAAATGCAAATTAACAAATTAGTAGCAACAAATATTACACATAATGGCATAAATCTAAATATTCAGCACAAACTCATATTTTCAATGGTCGATGGAAAGGTAAAAACAAGTTTTGTTTCGGATTCTATTCTAATTTTAATTTTTTTTTTGACATTTTTTGACATTTTTCTAAATTGATGTATATTTCAGGTATGTAATTCATTGACAAGTACATCAAGTCAGTCTTGTTATATTTGCGGATGTACGCCAAAAAATGTAAACGATATAGATAAACTAAGCAAAATTAAAATTAACTCCGATAATTTTAGGTTCGGGTTATCAACATTACATGCTTGGATACGTTTTTTTGAATGTTTGCTGCACGTATCCTATCGTTTACCTTTTAAAAGTTGGCAAGTCAGATTAGTTTGTTTAATCGTGTTTTCATATTGAATAAATGTATTAGGATAATTTTTTCTTAACATAATTTTAGATCGGAAGAACACAAGAAAATATTTTCGGAAAGAAAAAAAAAGATTCAAGATGAGTTTAGATCTGAAATGGGTCTTGGATCGTGGTTATCTACAGTTACGCGAAAATACCACACATCACCACACATCAAACGCATGGTCTTAGTGTGTTTTGCATGTGTGTAATTGGTGACCTTGCACAACCTAAATTTATCAAAATCAATTTTTTAAAAATATCAAAAATTTAATAATAATGGGTTGAATTAACAAAATATTGTCAAATTTGGATTTGTTGCCTTCGAATACATATGTTTTGATGTATTAAATAGTAATATCTAATTAATTAAAGATGATATTAATTTCGGCAAGCTAAAATTACTTGTCAGACCACTGTGCGACGGTAGAAGAAAACGTCACTAAGAATAAGAATGTTCAGTGTGACCGGTGTCGTGGACGCCTGTGATTTTTTTTTTTTGAACTCAGATTTTTAAATTTAAATCTGTCTATGCTCTCCAGACGGCGAAATTCCGTCGCTCGCTCGAATGTATTATTATAAATAATATTTCCATGCACCCGTATATTATAAATGTATACCAGTCCCCTACAACTGCTATGGTATGGGTACCACTAAATGGTTCAGCTGGATGACCTCAGATCGAAATGGTATTTCCAGGAGGCTAAAGACAAGTACACGTTTTTAGAATATTTAAACGTTTGGACACTTTTAGTGCTCGCATGCAATCATGCAAATCACATTATAAATGGCTTTTTTTTATATGGCGAAGGCAATTTTTTTTCTACAGATTTGAGATGAATATTTTATTTTAAACAAACAGTTGTTGCATAAAAAGTTTTTTTCCTAATAATTAGGTTAGGTTAGGTTAGGTCGATTGTGGTATTGACAAAGTCAAAATAAGTTGAAATTTATGAATAAATTAAAATATAATCAAGTTCATTATCCGTTATCAACACTTCGTTTTCTTTTAGTTTTTAGTATTTAATAAATATTAGAGTTTATTTACATAATATATTTGTGCATATAGCGGTGTCTAGTAATCTGAATTATTTGGAGTAGGTATAAAATGAATATGGCTAAAAAATCACTGAAAATAGCAATTATTTGTAAATTTCAACTTTAATTTAATTAACTTTATCGATTTTACAAAAAAAAAACTTCTTATTCAAAAAACATCTTTCAAAGATAAATATTGTTATTTTAGCAATATTAGAAAAAAGTAAGTGTTGTATTGCGTATGCATGAACACCGTACCTACCTAAATGGTTGATACGTTGACATTTCCTCTTTTAATCCTCTTTAATTGGTACTCTCCCTAATCCTCCCCCACCCCCACAAACCTCCATTTTGATCTGAGCTGGTCATCAGTTAAAATATATTTTACTGAAAACTTAGAGCGAGGCGCACTGTACATATTATAATATATATTATATCATATACATGTCGTTAAGTTAAACCGGAGAGAAAATGACGAGGGATAAAAATACGAGTCTACCAGAACGATAATATTATATAAAACCAATTGTATCTAATAAAAATACGAAAGCAAGGACCGCCGAAATGTTGTGGCTGCGGTCGGGCGTAGATGATAACGCATATTATGATGTATACACGCAATGCATGGTATAATATATTATTGATAACGACACCGCTATTATTTAGGTTTAATAGACCTTATCGTCATTCGAATCAAATCGAGCACGTAGGTAGAGCCGAAATAATATCACGTGCAGGCGCCGTGTGTTTAGATGAGGTCGGAGGGTCGGACACTATATAATATGTTTTGTGATTAATATTATGATTTGTGATATCGCCTGCTTAAATAAGTAGATACAAAAAATGAGGGATGATCTGATGTGCTTTTACGATTGAAACTCAAACTTTCGTCGATCGGAAGTTGTTTATTCGATTCCATGTAGCCACATATAGCTTGACAAGGAGCCATCTGACATCTTCAAGTACCTACCAACCTACTATACTTTGTCGAGACGGTTACTTGGACGTTATTTACTTCGAAACCGTAACTGTAAGATATTATTATTCCATAATAATAAATAAACAATTTACATAATCGTGAGTTTGCGATCGTTTGGAGGTGTATCATAAGGAAAGAAAGACGATAACTCAATAATTCGAGCAGAACATTATGTGTCAGTCGATTCAATAACCGTATTTTATAATATTATAGTGTTACGAGACGTTTTAGAGTACTGCTGAGTCATCTTTTTCTGTCAAAAACGATGACATATTTATGTCAAAAGGCTTGCAACCGTAGATATATTATGCATTTCTAGTTTCGCTCTAGGTCATTAAAATAAATGATACCTACTATAAAGTATCACAAAATTGCACAACACTATCGAGCGCGTTTACAGTGACCGTTCACAATAATATGTAAAATATTCAAAAGCAGCGGCTCGCGAAGGGTGGGCGTGATAGAGGCGGAGTTCGGTGCAATCTAAAAGCACGGTACACGCTAAATTTCCATTCGTCCGTTTAATTTTTCGCGATTCCAAAACCCGTCACTTATCCGGTAATTATTATTTCCGTTCTCCCCTCGAGCACGTCACTCCGCGACGACGACTGACATACAAATTATTATAAACTACTTAAATCCGGCAGCGCGTAATTAAGCGTTAATATATTCGCTTTTTTTCCCCATATTATTTATTAATATATTATAATCTGCTCGTCCGCGTAATTAAGCGTTTATATATTCATTTTTGTTATTCGTTTTGAATGTCCCCGCGTGTGTTATTTATTTTCTGTCACGAACGTTTTATACTCTGGTGATTTACATAATTTCCACGAGCGAAACGCGACGACCGACGGAAATTAATTAAACGAATATGACCGGTAGAGAGGAAAAAATGAAATAATAACAACGTACAAAGAAAAAAAAAAACGATTTTGCCCGTCCAACGGGTCGTGATTTTGGCTGACGAAAAGGTTTCGGAACACAATGTAAAAGCTTTTATATGCATTAAAAAAAAAAAAAAAACAGTATAAATCGTACTATGAAAATTGAAAAGCCTGCGTAACAGAGAAATCAAAATCATTTTTCTTCTTTATACTAAAGGTTAACGCCGAAAACTGTTTATTATTATTATTTTTCATTTTATATAATATATAAAAGTTCAATTTATACTCCCGCATCCTTTTCATTTACCCTCCCTTTCTCAGTCACTCTCTCCCCTCTCTCTCTCGCTCTCTCTCTTACCGTCTCGGCATCTCTATCTTCCTCACTTTAACAAAATATGCGTATCGAGGTTTTTTTTTGTTCCTAATAAATATACATTTTTTTCCGACGATAACTTATTTGAATTCAATTATACTTATTTGTTTTTCATTTTTAAGCAGATAGTATTGCGAGTGCAGGGAAAATTTCGAACCCACATTAACTGAGTAACCACATATATGCAAGATAAAATGTAAATACCAAGGTCAAATAAACTCTAAATAACCATATGTAGGTATGAACTCGAGTACAAATAAATGTACCTTTATGAAATCAAACATAATATAATGTTGCAAGTGAATGATGTTTTTTTTTGCATTTATATAACTCGAGCAATCGAACCACTAGAAGTACTTTAATTTTTGTCAGTCGCTAAGGGCGTTTTGATGAAAAATTAATAGGGTTTGCATGGGCCTTAAATATATTTATTTCGCTGGCTCATGTTTCAACCACTCGGAGACAAGCAATTTATTTAAAAACCTATACAAACATTTGAGTTTTAGCAATGAACGAACAAACCAATCACGAACAAAGCCCCAAAGTAAAGTCTATCATATTATGTAACAATGAAATCGTGGACGAATAACATTTAGCTAATCAAGAAGAGTACAAGTTTTCAGTGGATCACATGTGCAGTTAACTATTATTAAGCCGGGCCGTATATATAAGGCGTAACCGAAGATTGATCGACCGGACGAATCTGATTAGGGTAAAAAATTTAGAGGTAAAAGTCGCATACGTTTGACGGGAAATAAATTAAACTTTGTACTGGGTAAAATATCAAAAACAATTTTTGATTTCTGTTTTGGTTTCTTATACCTACCTACACAATATGATGTTAAAATATTTGAATTGACCTTAGAGAGTAAAACGTGATGCGACGGACGACCCCCGCCAGTACGACTTAGTAGTCTGCCATTCGACAGTATATTATTGCCATAACACGATATAATATTATATCGAATTTCCGAGCGCATTTTCGTATCACGAGCTCATTTTTTTTTTTTTACAAACGATAGGCATCTTCGTCGTTGTTATTAGAATATTATCATACAGTGCGCACATTT